ATCTGACAGTGATTAAAATCACTATCATAAGAAACGCTTCGATGCAAATCTGTAGATAGTGTTTCATTTAGAGAAATTGGTGGATTATTCCAAAAGCAACATCAACTCTTATTTCTTTGATTATATCCTAATTAGTAGTTCTTTGATTTTAAAATATAATATATGAATAAATACTAATTATAATTATTAAATTTAGTATGAAATTGATATTCATTAATTTAATATTGTAATTTAAACGGAGAAATTATAAAAATAATAAAGAAATTGTATTTTGCTTTATTTTTACGTGTATAAAAATTTAAAGGGCTTGATACAATAAATTTCAATAAAAACTGTTTGTTACTATAAATAAATGCACTGAACTACAAGGAACTTTCATCAGTAACAAAAATATACTTTTCTAAATCAACTTATCGCGATGTTTTCAAATCTGCAATTAGACTTCTTCTATCACTTATAAGTTTTAATATTATTAAAAATTAGTATTTTCATATAAAAAATTCGCATTGAATCTAAAAAATTGGCTATTTAAGCTAACTCAAATTTAAAAATTACTTTTTCGACTTTAAAAAAGTAAAAGAAATTTAATAAGTTTAATTTCTTATGTCTTATGAACTTTATTCTATGTCAATTAAATTATATAATATTCATGAAAGTCAATATATTCTCCTAATAAGATATTTTAAAATAAAATAAAATACAAAACCTAGAATTTTAATAGAATAATAGCATATTTTTGAATACGGTAGCCATTTGCGCATAGAAGATAGGTCGTCGGGACAAATTTTTTTTTTCATTTTATAGTACATAAAATAAGCTTTAATTTGATATATGTTTAAAGGACGCAGTATTTCCGGAACATTTTCAAAAATTAAGTTGAAAAAGTTAGTTTTTGTAAAAAAGTTGCTATTTTAAATCCCCCCTGTGAGCAGAATAAGTGTTAGATTTTCAAAAAAAAATGATATCAAATGAAAGAAAATTACCTAAGGTTTCAATATAAAGAAATATTATTTTGATTAGTTAATATTTGAAAAAGTTATGGCAGTTTTAAGTACAAAAAACATCGTTATAAAAGGTGATTTTTATCGCAAATATTACATTTTTTTTAAATTTTCGACAGCCATTTGCACATAGAAGATAAGATGTCGGGACAAATTTTTTTTTTTCATTTTATAGTACATAAAATAAGCTTTAATTTTATATATGTTTAAAGGACGCAGTATTTCCGGAACACTTTCAAAAGATAAGTTGAAAATGTTCTATTTTTCAAGTTTTGAACGCCCCCTATATATNTATGTTTTTTACAATATTTTAAGTTTTGAACGTCCCCTATATAAGGGGAAATTGTCCAATTTTAATAAAAAGTATGTCAAATGAAAGATGTACTTATAATGTATTTAGAAAAAAAAAATTTGTGCTGATATTTACATTTTTCGAAAAGTTATAGCATTTTTAAGTTGAAAATTTAAAATCGAAAATTTTAACACAAAAATAGCGCTTTTTAACTACGACAGCCGTTTACATACAGAAGATAAAGTGTCGGGACAATTTTTTTTTTTTTTAATTTTATAGTACATAAAATAAGCTTTAATTTGATATATGTTTAAAAGACACAGTATTTCTGGAACATTTTCAAAAACTAAGTTGAAAAAGTTAGTTTTTGTAAAAAAGTTGCTATTTTAAATCCCCCCCAATGAGCAGGTTAAGTGTTAGATTTTCAAAAAAATGATATCAAATGAAAGGGAAATATCTAAGGTTTTAGTATAAAAAAAAATTATGTTGATTTATTTATTTTTGAAAAAGTTATGGAAGTTTTAAGAAAAAAAGTGAAAAAAATGACAATTTACCGATTTTTAAATTTGTAATTTTTTTGGATATTTCCCCTATTCTCGGGGAACAAGGAAAAATTTTTCAATTTTTAAGGGTAATGTCTTCAACTAGATACGATTTGTGATCTTTTGATGTATCGCTGAAAGAAATCCGTTCGGTTAGAGCTGAGAAAGTCGTAACAGACATAAAAAAAAAAAACACATCATAGTAAAATTAATACCTTCTCAGCTTCGCATCGAAGCTAAAATTCTTTGTACATTTTTTTTAAACTTATTCTTGACATAATTATATAGAAATTTTAATAAAACTCATAAAACTTATAGTATTTAATGTGTATTATTGTTTATTAATATTTAAATTTTAAGCATTTTGCAAATTACTAAAAATATTAAAAAATTTTTTTTTGTATTTTTTAAATTACAATGTTATGACTAAATCATCGTTTTTATTTTAAGTTTTTTTGATTATCGAATTTAAAAATATTTATTGAAAATGACAACTATATGTAAAGAAAATGTAGTGAAAACTAACTGTGATGTAACTACATTTTATGCTTCAAGCATGATTGGGAGGTATAATTTTGAAAACAAATACTCATATTAAGAAAAAAAATTTGGATATGTAAAAAATAAAAAACTTTAGAAAAAACTTTACAATAGTATTTTTATTCATTTCCAATGTAGCAACCAAAAAACAATTCTTTAAACTATTTACCCATTATTTAAAATCATATCATTTGAAATGGTGGCTTTATAATACAGTTGTTTAATTTATAATTTATCGCTTAAACATGTCGCAAACATTCCTATATTTAGGACTATATTGTTATTTATTCAAAATTTTGTTTTATTAAAACAAAATTACAAAATTAAGTTAATATATATATACAAAATTTTGAAATAAAATGGCTTCATCTTTTTAATTTAACAATTTATGTCACTTTAAACAATAGTGTTAAATTTATTTGAGTTTTTATTTTAAAAACAATTTTTGATATGAGTCTAAGAATATTACATTCCTATTTTTTACTTAATATTGTATACTACATTACAATTTTAAAATGTTTAACTGTTAATTTGAATGCTACTCCGAATATTAAAGTAAGTCTAACTCTTGTGGTCGTCAACTAGTCTGCTACAACATAAGAAACTTGCTATAATTTTTTTCTAATAGTTTTTAAGTAAAATGTTTACATAAAAATATATTACACTTATAATTGAAGTGGTCATTGGATAAAGGTGTTAATTGACTTTATTTCAAAAATGATACTTTTTAAGTATATATTAAAAAGCTATATAATTTGTTTGATATTCAATATATGAAATAACTTATAAGAAGGAAAATTTCGGTTTTGGGATACTCTATATTAGCTATCTATCTATAAGTTTTCGTCAAATATCATAATTTTAATGATAGTGAGTACAGTAATAAAAACACTAAATACGACATGTACATGCATAATATTGGTCCATTATTTTTTTACAAATATAAAAACTTAATTAAAAAACATATAAGTCTCATTCTTTTTTTAAAATGTGTTTGTACTATCATAAATTATTTTTAATATAAAATTGAGTTGAACAATAATTAGTTTTATAAAAATTAATTTGCAATTTTTTCTAATTTTTGGGTTTACGTTTTTTTACTTCCTAGTTACGCTTTAGTTGGTTATTCTATTATAATCTTTCGAATGTTACCGCTTAATAATCATTAAAATGTTACGAGTAGAATATTTTTAGTTAATAATCTATTCACAACTATGATAAAATTAACTTCATAGATCACTTTACATAGTTTATTGAGTTCTTATTCGATTCACAGGAAATCTTCTACTTTGCAACAAATTATTAAGGAGAAAATTATATGTGATCTAGCTATTTTATAATTTTGATAACTCAACTCTGAAGCTATTTATTAAACATTTAAAAAATTAAAAAATAGGAATGTTTATTAGTGAATATAAAATACTAGTAATAATCTTAACGAAAAAATAAATGCACTTGATCACAGATAATTTTGTCCTTTATAATTTGGTAAAAATTTTGAGACTCTGGCATCAATACAGATCGAATAAAGTTTTCCCGCGCAAAACATGTATCTGTATGTCGTCCTTTTATGATATTCTCTTATATTATGTAAAAGGATATTTTTAAGAAATGTCCAAAATAATTTGTCTTGCATCATTATTGAAAATTATTTATTTAATCATTTTTAATGATTAAAAATCAACTCATTAATTTATAATAATTTGAAAATTGCAGAAACCAGATTGCAATACCATATTTTCAGATTCATATTTGAATCTATTGAACACAATAAATCTTAAATTTAAGGAATGGTTATTTAATGATAGTGACGACATAATCGTTCCTATAATTGATCAAAATGATATGCAATACCTAAAAATATCATGCCATAAAAACAAAAACTGCATAGATAAAAAAATAATTAGTTTAAAAAACTTAGAAAATACTTTAGAATCTTTGGAATGTTTTCATGCATTTTTAAGTCTTTACATGTTTCATACCATAAGAAATAATATGAAATCAATTTTAAAAAAACCTAATCTAAATATTAACAACAATAATAAAATAAATTCGGATATTAAGTTTACTCTACTAAAAAAATTTATGATAAATATGATATCAATATTTGTTGGTGGGTATTATATAGTAAAACCTTGGCAGCTTGATTTTTCAATAATAACTATAAAAATGGAGCCATTGGAAGCCAAAAATTTAATTGCTACTAAAGAAGCCTGTAATCATATCGACAATGATGCTCTATATTTATCATTGTATAAAATTTGCCAAGAGTGTCAAGCGAAAAATAACTTGCCAAGATCATTGAAGTTTTCCGAGACAAACAGCACAGAAATCAAATCTAATCAATTATATCTTTCTTATCATCCTAATATTACAAATATACCTAAGAGAATTTTTAGCTTTATTCAGTATAATAGATATATTTATAAACAATACAACTCTACTTCTCAACATTTGATAAACAATTACGGTAATTGCATTTTTTATTTTTGTGGTTCACCAATGTGGACAAAATAATGGAATGATTTTTGTAACATTTTAAATATTTTATTTTTAAATAAAATGTCCAGAGTATATTGGGGTAAGTGTCTTGACGGTGTAAATGCAGGGTTGTTACGTTTTAGACGTGTTTAAAACACCTAAAAGTTTAAATTCACATTGGTCTTTTTATATCAGTAATTTTGATGAAAGTTTTTTTGTAATTAATTTAAAATGTTACTATTATAATGATGTTTATAATAAAAAAAAAACCACCACCAATCTTAAAATAGACTATTATGAAAACAATTCATTAATCATTGTGTTTGATTTGAAATCTATCACTAAAAACTATTTACTTCTTTTATTTCATCATTGTACAAGTTATTTCCACCACCTTCTCGTTGTGGTTTCAACACAAAATTTCCGGGATTATCCAAAGCCATCTTAACAGCATTATCACCATTTTGATCCTGAACAAAATATTTAACAGTAAATTAAGAACCTTAATAGTCCTAGATAATATTTATAATAAAATTAATCAGACGCATATCCAAAAGATATTTTTGGAGGGATACTTTACTATTTTTGATAGCATAAACATATATTCCTAGAAAAAAAACCAGCACAGTGGGGACGTGGCATAGTTGGGTCAAGTATAATGATATCTGAGAATTACCAGTTATAAATCATATACTCTGGGTCACTACACATGACCTTTGGATTTTTCATTTAAAATTTATTTACTCATTATACATTATGCGGTAACATGTAAAATTATGTAATATAAATTTCGTCGAACGAATTTTCTCATTTTTCTGCGCTCATCAATAACCAATTATATGTAATATGACAAAAAAGATTAAAAAAACGGTAGCACAGTGGGGTTGAGGCACAGTGCGGATGAGGCATAGATGGGACAAGCATAGATGATATCTGACAATGATTAAAATCACTATCATAAGAAACGCTTCAATACAAATCTTTAGATAGTTTTTAATTAAAAAAAATTGTTGATGTAAAAAAGTTATGACAGTAAAAAAAAACCAGTACATAGGGGTCGCGGCACAATGGTGACGTGGCATAGTTGGATCAAATATAATTATATCTGACAGTGATTAGAATCGCTATAAAAAAAACGCTTCGATGCAAATATGACACTTTTATACATATCTTAAATTAAAGCTAATGTAATTTACTTTATTATGAAAAAAAAAATTTTCGATATTTATTTTATCTTCACGATGAAAATGGCTACCGAATGCTATTATTGTGTGAAAATTCTAATTTTTTAAAATTAAACACTATCTAAAGATTTGCATCGAAGCGTTTTTTTTTTTATAGTGATTTTAATCACTGTCAGATATCATTATACTTGATCCATCTATGCCACGTCACCACTGTGCTGGTTTTTTTTTTAGTTGGATATGGACAATTTTTATGAATCAATATTAAGAAATGATATTTTAATTATACACACTATTTTTGGCATAGAATTTAAAGAAAAACTTTGATTTGGCGTAAAAATCCAACGTAGCGTTTAATACATTTTATACTTATCTTGACATTACTGAGGTTTATTCGATAATTTTTTTGAATAATTAATTTACAAAGTTTAACTCCAATTATTTGTAATTGTCTTTTTATAAAAATATTATTTTTGTGAAAAAATAATTTATTCCAATATAGATAATTTATTTTTTTCATTATATTTTAATATTATGATTTTTGTTTTATTTAACATATGAAACTTAAGTTTTGAAATATAAAATATGTATTTTATGTGACAAATGGGATAATGTTACTTCTACACATCACACTATTTTAAATTCTAATATCACTGAAATATTAAGTTAATTGCACTTTTCATTTTTCTAATTAATTTTTAGTAAAAAAGAATGAACGAGTACCAACAAATATAGATATATTGCATCCAGAGTTCCAGAGAAAAAAAGAAAATTTACTTAATAGATTAAAATTAAGTGAATCAGAAATTAAATCCTTTGAAAGAAATACCGCTGACCATTTAAAAAATGATAAATGGAAGAATAACAAAGGTTTAAGGTTGTCATCATCATATTTCGGTCGTATTTGTTTTTTACAACCAACCACTTGTAGAGATAATATTGTAAAAGCAGCATTAAGATCATTTATAAAAATACAAAATGATAATAATACAAACGAGTAAGTAAAATGAATTAAATTGTAATATTTTACATTTTTACAAGTTAACTATAATTGTCAACTAATATTAAAATATTTTTACGTGTTTCAGTTATCAAAATAAAAATGAATATTGCCAAGAATTAGAAAATTTAGCTATAAAAGAATTTGAAAAAGCAACAGAAAAAAAAGTTTTGCCATGTGGAATATTTATTGACGAAAATTTGAACTATTTAGTAGCGACTCCAGATGGGATGGTTGGAGAAAATGAAATTATTGAAATTAAATGTCCTTATAATATTCAAAATATGACAATTCGTGAAGGTATTCAAAAAATAAAATATTTGTTGTTGAATAAAAATTCTGATAAAATTTGCTTAAAACGTAATTCCCACGTTTATTATCAAATACAAGGGCAACTGCATATTACAAAGAAGATGAATTGCTATCTTGTTGTTTGGACCAATTATGGTAAAATTTTTTCCGTCCTTATTTGTCATTTATTTTAAATAGTTTATCATCATTATCTATGTTATTATTTGAACTAATTATATTATAATACGTTATTAATGTAAAACAAGGTTTATTTAAACTGATCTAAAGACGCTTTATAACTTTTTTTAAAACTAACCTAAGTCTTTACAAAAAATTAGTGTGTATTTAAAAAAATATGTTTAATATTAAATATTGTTTTAGATATATATATAGAAATAATTCCTAAGAATGACGATTTTTGGAATAAAAAAATGGAGAAAAAACTGACTAATTTCTACATGGATTTTATGGTTCCAAAAATAATTGAGATTGAAAATGGTTATGATTGCTCCAATTAACTTATTTCATAGTGTTTTGAAAATTAAGGATTTATTCACTATATAAAATTAAAAATATACCTAAGCAACTATATAATATTAATTCAAAGTCGCATAAACTTGGGATCCTTCAAAATGGCACAAACAAAATTTGTGATTATTTTGCTATTATTAAATGCATATAATTCCTAGCTTTAGTAGTAAATAATATANTTTGCTATTATTAAATGCATATAATTCCTAGCTTTAGTAATAAATAATATAATAATTATGTAAAGCATTTTATTGGGAATAAAAAATAACTCTACATTGTTAACAATAAATGTGTAACTTATTAGACATGAAGGGATGGTAAAAAAATGTCAAGTAAGAAAAGTATTAATAAACGAAAAATTTCATCTGAATTTTATCTAAAAGATAAATTATTTCAACTACATAATAGTTTTTCCAAATATTTTTATCTCATATTGATGATTTTTAATTAAAATATCTGTATCTAATCTGGATAATAATAGTTATCTATTCTCAATACTGTTCACAAATATTTCTTTAAAATGAATTCTTTCAATAAATCAATACTTTAATAGTTTAGTACTTTTATATTTAATATTTAATGATTAAATACAAAAAAGAATTAAATTGTTATTTTATTTATGTATCCTATATTACTTATCAAATTTCTTACATTCTAAAATACAAAATAATATTTCCATAAAATGTATAAGTTTCACTATTTATATTAATCAAATTTTTTCCTGTCTCTATTAAAAGTTAATAAATTATTAACTTTGTTATAAATTTATTGAACATATAATCATCGTAAAGATTTTATTTATTTTCTATAACAGTAATATATAGTCAAACATTTTTTAATTATATAAAGAATTTTAATTTATGAGGGATAGCAAAATACCTTGAGCCACTGCTACTTAACAACGTGTATTTATGGGGTCAACCCAGAATGTCTAGACAATCCCTTAGACTTAAATCCTAATAGTAGGGCTTGTGAGAGATAAAGCTACCAACCATTACTACAATAAATTTTTTATTGGGATCCATACATGCGTTTTTTATACGCAATTGTCCTATAAGAAACAGTTTTAATTGTAATTTGTATCTATTCAAATAAGAAAGAAAAAATTTCTAAACCATATGTAAGATGTAGTAAAGTTAATAGTAATAATTATGACAAGTTTATTAACATACCATACATTACTATTTAAAAACATATTGTTTTGTATATTTTTGTCGATGAATTTATGAATTAACTATGAAAAGGGTAATTAAGTCTAACCTAAAAAAAAAACATAATATATTTATTTCTTAAACTTAAAATACTCAAAAGTATTGGTATTTGTATTTGAATAAGTATTTTATGTGTGTATTTAAATACACACATATTCAGTATTAACAAACATGGGAAAATTGATGGAAATAATTAACACAAGTTAAGTTAGGTATGATTAATGTCGATAAATTAACAGTTAACAAATTATAGATTTAACTAGCAAAAGTTAAAAGATAAGTTGAAATTTTTTTTTAACTTAAATAATTTAACAAAAGTTTATATTATTTAAAATTTTTTGGTACATTAATATAATAGAAGATATGTATGATGGCACTTGTACCACAGTAAAAAGCGTAGGAGGAGTAACAGAAGGTTTTTGGGTAAGAGTAGGAGTGCACCAAGGTTCTGATTTAAGCCCTTACTTATTCTCTATAGTGATGGATGAAATTACTAGAGAAATACAAGGAGAGGTGCCGTGGTGCATGTTGTTTGCTGACAATATAGTGTTAATAGGAGAAAATAGGGAGGAAATTAATCAAAGGCTAGAGGTGTGGAGATCATCTATTGAAGAAAAGGGTTTAAGAATTAGTAGAAGTAAGACAGATTATATAGAGTACGAGTTTGACAACGGAGAACACGAGGTAGGTGAAATGAGGAGGTCAGTGACAATAGGCGACAACGTGATTGGAGAGGTGGAGAGTTTTTAAGTATTTAAGATCAGTTGTGCAAAAGAGTGGTGGTATTGACGAGAATGTAAGACACAGAATTAAGTGCGGGTGGTTGAAGTGGAGAGAAGCGTCTAGCGTCTTATGCGATAAATGAATTCCAATGAGGCTGAAAGATAAATTCTACAAGACTGTAGTGAGGCCAGCTATAATGTATGGTTTAGAGTGTTGGGCGGTTAATAAGAAAGTAGAGCAGAGAATGAGTGTAGCAGATATAAGAATGCTTAGATAGATAAGTGGAGTAACTAGAAAAGATAGAATAAGGAACGAGCATATAAGAGGGAACATAAGTGTAGCGTCAATCGTGGATAAGATGAGAGTAAATAGACTTAGATGGTTTGGTCATGTTATGAGGAGAAAAGAATCGGAAGCTGTAAGAACAGTTATAAAAATGAATGTTGAAGGAAGAAGAGGTAGAGGAAGACCAAAAAAGAAACGGAGGGATGCTATTGAATGCGATTTGAGGACAGCTGAGCGTAAATGATGTGGGAGATCGTGTCAAGTGGAAGTTTAGGATAAGGGTTGTAAGAACATTTAATACTATGTTCTTACCACTTATATTACAGACGTTTTATTTCTATTTATTTAATTCGTAATACATATTAATTAGCATAGAGGGAGATGCTGATGTGACAATTCTACTCGTCTGTAGCCCGGAGCTACTAACGTCGAACTAACAAAGTGCAGTTGTGTTTGAGTGGCCGTTATAGACATAGTTTTCAATACTATTACTTTCGTTTTATTTATATTATTTATAACTTAACTTGTTTTATTCAATCCGTCTATCGACAATTGTCATCATAGCCAACCAACTTCGTCTCACTTGGATATACCTACTAACCAACTGTACTAGGATTCAGGTCAGACGTATTGTACAATACATATAACTTATATTTACTGAACATCTAAAATATAACTTTACTTTGTCGTTGACATAAAATAATAGTCTAATTTTATTTAATAATCTATCCCCTGTAACTAAGGTACACGATTGCCTGTGTCTTTAATTAAAACTCATTTAAGGAGATAGGGACGATATTTGGGCAGACGTCGGGTAGCTTCCGATTCTTGGTTTTAACCAAGATCTTCTGTGTCTTACATTCTCGTCAATACCACCACTCTTTTGCACAACTGATCTTAAATACTTAAAAACTCTCCACCTCTCCAATCACGTTGTCGCCTATTGTCACTGACCTCCTCATTTCACCTACCTCGTGTTCTCCGTTGTCAAACTCGTACTCTATATAATCTGTCTTACTTCTACTAATTCTTAAACCCTTTTCTTCAATAGATGATCTCCACACCTCTAGCCTTTGATTAATTTCCTCCCTATTTTCTCCTATTAACACTATATTGTCAGCAAACAACATGCACCACGGCACCTCTCCTTGTATTTCTCTAGTAATTTCATCCATCACTATAGAGAATAAGTAAGGGCTTAAATCAGAACCTTGGTGCACTCCTACTCTTACCCAAAAACCTTCTGTTACTCCTCCTACGCTTTTTACTGTGGTACAAGTGCCATCATACATATCTTCTATTATATTAACACACCTTTCCAGGATCTTTGTTCCAAGCCTATAATACAACTCATAATACCTTTTAAACTTAGGAAAAAAATATTAATGATAACAAACACATTTTTTTATTCGTTTTGTATATTTTTGTGTTGACTGCACTGTTTTATCTTTAAAACTAGTTATTAAAAAAAAAAATCAGATATAAATCATATAACAGATATCATATCAAAAAAAAAACAGAAAATTATATTTATTGTTATATAAATATATTATTTGAGGGTGGAATTTCTATTTTTTTTTTAAATTAAACCATGTACACAGCGTATGAAAACATAATTTTTTTTTATGAAATATTGAATTTAGCTTAACTGTTATTTTAACTAATTAACTGAAAAAATTAATTTATTTCAAATGAAAATTAAATTAGTTAAGTTAAGAAGTTTATTAAAAAATAATTAACGAGTTAAGTGGAAAAGTTTAAAAAAAATTAATTTTTTAACTAGTTATTTCCACCATGCATGTCGAATTTTAACTAGTAATTATTTAATATTGTACCCAAACAAATAACGATATAAGGCATGACTATACAATAAAGTTTCAAAGCTTAAGAATGCAATTTAATAATGTACAGAATGGAAAAGATCTAACTGACATCTCATATAACTTATTATCTACATAACATTTTCAATTTTTTTTTTTTATCAATTATTTCAATATAGGAGTATATTTAAAATATGTTTTATGATTAATATTTTAAAAATTAATCTTTTTTTAAGATTTGAAAATAGCTATTTTATTAATAAGTTTTAAATTGTTTTTAGCAAAACAAGGTATTACTTTCAGAATACATAACGAAAATAAAGAATCATTANTAAGGCATGACTATACAATAAAGTTTCAAAGCTTAAGAATGCAATTTAATAATGTACAGAATGGAAAAGATCTAACTGACATCTCATATAACTTATTATCTACATAACATTTTCAATTTTTTTTTTTTATCAATTATTTCAATATAGGAGTATATTTAAAATATGTTTTATGATTAATATTTTAAAAATTAATTTTTTTTAAGATTTGAAAATAGCTATTTTATTAATAAATTTTAAATTGTTTTTAGCAAAACAAGGTATTATTTTCAGAATACATAACGAAAATAAAGAATCATTATAATATAATGATTCTTTATTTTCGTATTAATATTTTCATCACAAAACATATATTATATGTTTTGTGATGAAAATATTAAATGTAAGCTAAAATCAAGATATGAACATTATAAATCTTCTGAATATCAGGGTGATTGTATTAAAATAAATACTTCTGTAACGAGATCAAAAATAATTAAAAAATAGGAGCCTTTTCTATTCTTGTAGATGAAAAAAAAGTCTCTTGCAAAAAAGAACAATTGTCATTTATAATCAAGTTTGTAGAAAACCAGATTAAAATTTTTGAAAAAGCTTAGGTTGTTACCATATGGTTAAATGTAATTTGTTAACTCTTAGTCAAGAGAAATAAAAAATAATTTGGATAGCTCAGTGCCATGATGGAGTGTCTGTGATGAGTGAGGGGTTTTCAGGAGTACAAAAACGAATTACTAATGTAATATCACAAGTTATATACTATTCAAGGCGATAGAAATTTAAAAGCGATTCATTTAGAGCAGTTTATAAAAACTAGATGGTTTAAATGGCACACTTCTCTACAAAAAGTAGAGATGTATCTTACAGAAGTATTAGATGAATTGAAAGTTTTGATTATGAAAGATGATCAACTACACAAAGATTTGGGTTAACTTAAAGAATTATCAACTTTTCGATTTATATTAGTTTTACATGTTATGGAAAAATTTCTTGAAACTATTAACAGTTTATCATACGAGTTACAAAATCCAAAATGATAGTAGCAACAGCTATGAATCTAGTTGATGTTACAAGAAATGAATTAATTGCCTTAAAATCAGATGAAAATTATTCTCTGTTATATAATAAAGCTAAAATACTATAAATATTTTGTTCTATAATAGTTACTAATATTAATGTTATTGTTTACATGAATATACCACATATGTTAATTTATATTAGATCAAGTTACTTCACTATATTAAAGAATATAATTATTATTGAATAATAAAATGAACTGTCTAGAAATACTTGATAGTATACTTTTTAATGTTACTTCAGTCTATTTACGTCTCAGACATTATTTTATACTTCCTCTGTTCAATAGAACTACAATTTTTTTGATCTGATCAACTGTATGTTAATTACAGTTAATTAATTAACAGTCAATTAATTGGAATACAATGAAATATGTCATAAACTTGACTTATCTTATAATTCTGTGGTCACTATAAAGCAGTGTTGAGAAGGAACTAGTTCCAAAAGGAACGGATTCCTGGAACGAGTTCTTTTTGAAGGAACGATGCTAGGAACTGCTTCCTTTTAAAATAAAGGAACGAGGAAAATGAACAAATTCCATTTTTTAAGGAACGTGAACGGAAATTACAGTTCCTAAAATTTTTTATAAACATGTTTTAGTGTAGTTTTCTTCGTATCTAGACATTAAAATATTATGGTATTTTTAGTTGACTTTTGACAATGGAAGTCCCCTATATACCCAGCCGAGATCGTAGGCTGTTTAAATGAATCAATTGATTATAGATAGAGTTATTATCACATGTAGGTATACAGTAAATATTTAATATATGTGTACATATATTAAATAATGCACCGAATATTATCGTCGTTTCTTGTTAACTAATTTATGTTAAAGGTTTTGGGTTTTCTGATTTATTATTTCTAACTTATATGTAGACAATAGACATTGGTCGCGTTGACACAAGTCGTTAGCATTTACTACCTGCTTATAAATATAATTTTCGAATACTTTTAGATAAGGAATACTACAAATTTGTTTTGTATTCGACTGCTGATGAAAATCATTGATGACCGTTATCATGATTTCATTGCCACAATTTTTTAAATAACTTATAAAAGGAACGAAGAGTGGAACGAGTTCTTATTTTGGAGGAACTGGATCTGGAACAAGTTCCTTCTTAATATAAAGAATTAGGATCTGGAACGAGTTCATATTTTAGAAAATGAACGGGGAACGGAACGAATTCCATTTAAAAAGGAACTTTCCCAACACTGCTATAAAGAGATTGATTTAAATAGTTAAAAAATCTATATTTATATTTAATATTAATTGTATAATCAATAATTATTTGAAATGTTTTTACTTCATACTTTGTTTAATGTTTTGGTTATTTTATATTAATCTGTACTCTTGTCCTTTGGGGCTTATATTTAGTAATAAATAAATAAATATATAGTTTTAATTTTATGTATAAAACTAATAAAATGCATACCAAAAAATATTCAATTAAATTGTACTCAAATGTTTGTGTTATAAAATTTAGATGCTGACACACTTTTATTTTTATAACTAATAGATGAGCAATACAACATAAAAATTATCATTAAAATGTATTAAATGATAAATATTTGTATATTTATAAAATGAGTTTAAATTTCTATAATTCATACAATAAAGTTATTGTCGTATGATATTAACAAGTGTAAATTTTATTTCTTAAACATAAATGAAAAATTTTAATTAGGTACTGTACAATGTTAATTAAACAATTTTAATTTGTAATTATATGATTACAAATTAATTTAGTCAATTTAATTTATATGACTGAAATATTTGGTAAGTAATAACATATATCCAGCCTATGTCAATTAAAATATTATATTAGTTAAAATACACAGGATAGTTTGATAATTTCAAGCCATTCAATGGTGAATAAGTAATTAAATACAAGAAACAAAAAAAGTATCAACATGAATGAGTATTTTTCACTAAGTATTATTGTATAAAAATTCATTACAAATGGTTATACTTTATTTGAAAAAAAAGAAGATCAATATTAATTTTTAATCACTGATTATTTTTTTCTATAATAGTTTATAAGAAATGTATGCATGTTTTTAATGAATTTTGTTTATAGTCCTTGCTTGATTTGAATTTTTTAATACAATGAATAATATACTTTTATTTTTGAAAATTTAGACAACTCAAAAGTTTTAACAAAATTACTTTCAAAATGATCAAACAAAAAAAATATGTCTTATAACTGAAAGAATTATAATTTATAAAGAATAAAGATATAGACAAAATATTGACTAGATTAACTGATTGGTTTTATTTCAAACCATTTGATTCTTATTGTTTGTTCATTAATTTATTTGCTTAATAAAATATAACTTTAACATCCCTACAATTAAATAATTTAACAAAGTTAATTAATAAAATTTATATAATAATCCCATTTTACCACAGTTTTTCCACTAAATAATTTGCAAAACTGGGATTTCTACGTATTTCCCAGTATTGATGATTGTATTCCCATGTTTCAACACCATTTTTAATAGTTCTTCTAAACCATTTAGGATTATACTGTTCTCCTGATTCCTCTTTTCGTTTTCTTCGTTCACGTTGCATTTGCTCTAAATTAAGCTTCATGGATTCTGCACGATTTAAATCACCTTCTTCTAACAATCTATACAAAATATGTAATTAAATAATTATTGTTTAAGTAGGAAAATTAAGTATACAAGGTACAGAAACCATTTTTTTAAGGAAAGCCCTAGTGGGCCATAAAGAAAGAAATTACTCTTGGATATCAACTTGGAGATATTCCTAGTATAGTTAAATTATTCAAATATGTGGCTGACGAATTAATTTCAATAGTATGAAAAAACCTACACGAAATTGATTTGTACTTATTTAAAAAATAAAATTTATATAAAATAAATAAAAATACAAACATTTTTATAAACTGTACAGTTTTAGAAAAGAAAAAAGGAGCAATAGAAACAAAAACGAATATAGTAAATAAGCTACAATTGTACAATATACTATACCTCTGATCAGGTCGAAATCTGGTATCTGTTTTAGGTAAATATTTAGCTAATTCTGAATCTAATTCATTTAACTCCATTGCAAATCTTGTAAATCCATAATACAGTTCATAATCTTCTGGCATTGTACCTATGAAAAAATTATATTTTTAAAATATATTATAAATATAATATATTATTTATTAAATTAAAATGGTACATTTTCTTCCCTGATGAAAATTTTAAAAAAATGATAATTATATCCTAAGTTATAAGCATTTTAAGTTGGACTTAACATATACTGTATACACAGTTTTTTTTAATATTTGGAGAGGTTAATATTAAAATTCTCTTCAATTTGCGCATATAGCTATTAAACAAGTTATTATTGTACATACCTGGTCGCCAAATACATTTAGCCGAAGGAGCAACTCCACAATATAGGGCTTCATTCCACTTGCCAAATAACTTACGGACAACTTTACCCTCATTGTCATCTACTATGACACCATGTATTTCGTGGCGTTTTGCTGAGAAATAGCTTGCCTAATTATAAATAATTCAAATTTTTAATAACTTCTTCTTTAATTGAAAATAATTTTTTATACTCTTTAAATTTATAAATTACTTTTTATTAATAATAAAATAAAACTAAATTAAACCTAGAGTATAATTTTTATATAAATCAGAAATTTGTATTCATAATATTATAATTTCTGATATTATTAAATAATAATGTATAATAATTTATGAAAAAATCAATACAAATTAAAGACATATTTTGATAATATATTTTGTTTTTCATCTGTAACTTGATTATGATAAGTCTATGAAACTAGTAATATTATTTATATCAAGTCTTGGATGACACTTAAAAATTAATTAAAAAATATTTAATTTTACTTAAATAAGAATTACATTTTCCTTATACATTTTTTTAATTTATAAGAATTATATGTCTTACTCATACTCATACAAAATTAAAGCTTCAAAATCTTCTTTCTTTCAATATCATTAAGTCCTCATTATATAGAAAAATATAACAACTAATTTAGGATTCGAAAGAGTTTTTTATTTAAAATTAGATTTTTTTTAACTTTATAACTCATGTATAATTATAAGCAGAAATTAAGTAACAATAAAATAATGCAATACTTTATTCTTGATGTGTACCTTGTATTATAATGAATAAAAATTGTTGCAAAATATTAACTAGATTAAAATTTATGGACTTGTCAGAATATGCTGGATCACTCCATATATAAAGAATACGAAGTTCTCTTGTTAGATTATCATAAATAATAATACTTAGTATTTTTAATTGTATTTTGAAGAAATACCTACCTTTACAAAAGTTAATTTACACGATATATTCTTATCCAAATTGATAATTTTTAACTCTCCATATTGATCAACAGATCGCTGACCACCAAATAAATTATGTACACAAGTTGTTACTTTATTCCATCTATAATGATCACTGCTGTCATTACATATCAATTGCACGTTGACATACCCTGAAAATATTTAAAACAATTAATTTCTTAAGTCATTACTGTATGTAAAAATACATTAAAACATTAATTTATATAAATATTGACTATGTAAAAATATTAAAAGCTCAAATATGTTAAGTCTTAATAAGGATTTCAGAGGCGTGATTACATTTCTAGAGATGCAAGGTTTAGCAAAAGAATTTTTATTATAAAAGCAACATGTTTAATTTCAGAATCTACTATAGTCCTAACAAATAATAAGATGAATCATTAAAATTCAACGTAACATAAAAATTTTTAACCTATGGGAATTCTCTGTAAATCAATCAATCGTAAATATTTTAAACAAATTATTAAAACACAAATATGAATATAAAAAAATTGGTAAAATCCGACACCTGTGTACAATAAAAACGGCGAGAAAAACTGATTTACATTAAAATTATTTAAAACCAATAATTCACCAATTTTTTAAATGAGCTCAGGCTGATAACTAACAGAAGTCTTAGATAGATTAATATTTATAGCCAATAGGTACATAAGGATCGGTTCAAGTTATTTTCACTACAGACAAAATTATTTTGCGGTGTGTTTATGCTATGAACAAAAAAAAACGATTTTCTTTATAAAGGAAAATCATCTAAATTAAAAAAGTCGGATTTCGACCACGCACAAATATTAAAATTAGTAGACGTTACTACTCTTTTAGCTACTTCGACAGATCCCATTTGACTAGATTATTTATTTTTTTTACAACTTATAACCATATTATCAGTGGTATATTTATATGCAGAAACTCTAGACATCTGCCTACAGCGACAAATTTATAAAAAGTTACTTTTTTTTATTGTTGTTATGGCTTATTGACTTCCTAATAATTATCATAATAGTTTTCATTTATTGTATATTTATGGTATGTATATTGATAGCCACAAGTAAAGTTAAATCTATTTTAAATTTCCCGATAACTATAATTATTAATAAAATACAAGTTCATTACTTTTATAATACCTTTTTTATCGCTGTCTTTGTACAGTTTTTTAAACCGGAAAAAATTGACTAATGTTATTTTAAAATCTGTTTAAAAAAACATATCATATAGGAGGATGTTATTGTCATAATTTCGACTAGTGTTCGCGTAGCTCCATTATGGTGCGCTATTAATTTAAGTTTATTTTTTGTTAAATATTCTTTTTATTTTGTGAATATAAGTATAAATAAAAAATTTTTAAGCGATGATCAATACAAAAAAACCCAGTACAGGGAGGTCGCGGCACAGTTGTGACGTGGTATAGTTGGATCAAGTATAATGATATCTGACAGTGATTAAAATCACTATCAAAAAAAAAAACGCTTCGATGCAAATCTTTATATAGTGTTTAATTTTAAAATATTGGTGGATTATTCCAAAAGTTACATGATCTGCTAGTTCCTTACTAATATCCTAATTAAGATAAAGTATGTCAAATGAAAAAGGGATTATTAAAAAATTTTATTTCTCATAAAAAAATTTTGTTGATCCATACACTTTTCAATAAGTTATAGCATTATAAAGTTAAAAATATAATAAATAAAATCGAGAAATTTCACACAAAAATAGCATTCGGTAGCCGTTTTCACCATGAAGACAAGTCCAGAGGTCAAATTTTTTTTTTTCAAATTAAAGTATATTACATAAGCTTTAATTTAAGATATATATAAAAGTGTCAGACCTTCCGGAATATTTTCAAAAGTTAAGTTGAAAAAGTTAATTTTTTTGTAAAAAAGTTGTCATTTTAAATTCCCCCCTTTGGGCAGATAAAGGGTCAGATTTACAAAAAATATATACCAAATGATAAGTAAAGACATCAAGCATCTATATAAAAAAAAATTATATTGATATGTTCATTTTTGAAAAAGTTATTAAGTTAAAAATATAAAAAAACATTATTTTACAAAAATCGTAATTTTTGATTAACTTTGATGTCTCTTTTCACCACGAATACAAATCCAGAGGTCAATTTTTTTTTCAAATTAAAGTATATTACATAAGCTTTAATTTAAGATATATATAAAAGTGTCAGACCTTCCGGAACACTTTCAAAAGTTAATTTTTTTTGAAAAAGTTGTCATTTTAAATTCCTCCCTGTGGGCAGGTTAAGTGTCAGATTTACAAATAAAATATACGAAATGATAGACAAAGACATCAAGCATCTATAAAAAACAAAAATTATATTGATATGTTANATCTATAAAAAAAAAAAATTATATTGATATGTTAATTTTTGAAAAAGTTACGGCAGTTTTTAGTAAAAAAAAATTGAAAAAATTTCGAAAATTAGCGATTTTTAAATTTGTAATTTTTTTGGAGGTTTCCCCCATTTACGGGGAACGAGGGAATTTTTTTCAATTTTTAAGGTTAATGTCTTCGACTAGATACGATTTGTGATCTTTTGACGTATCGTTGAAAGAAATCCGTTCGGTGAGAGCTGAGAAAAAGTGGTAACAGACACACACACGCAAAAAAAAAAAAACACATCTTAGTAAAACCAATACCTTCTCAGGTTCGCATCGAAGCTAAAATTACCAAATTAAAAAGTGATAGACCACAAATTGTTTTATATCAAACATCGAAGTAAACTAATTTTTTTGACAAACTAGTTTCTTCTACTTTTTATACAAGAATTAGTGACGATAAAACTACAGATATTATTGTTGTTTGTATGACAATAAAATGAAAAATACTTTGCCTCTCGAAGTTGAACCCGAAGATAGTAGCAGTTCTTCCAATTCAACTAATATGATTTTTAATATGTTAATTTTGGAGGCCGATCCAGCAAATATGTTATTAATGGCGATTTTCAAGATTATTTCGCAAAAAACAGTATTTATCAAAATACATCAAACAGTTTTATTAAATCCAAAATATTAATATAGCATTAAGAATTTTTTTATGAGTACAAGTGTCTAATTATACAATAGAGAGATCGTTTTCGTGTTTTAAACGCGTCAAAAACTATCGTAGATCCACTTAGACTGATACAAAGTTAAATAATATCACATTTCTCTGCACAAAAAATGTTAAACAAACTGAATTGCAAAGATTGACTCATTTGAGAAAACTAAATGTCAACATTTATATTTTTGTATCAATTTTATAATTATTAATTATATATTATGTATTACATATGAGTTATTCTACCATTTATGTGTGCTTTTTGTTACTTACATTTTAGAAACTTCTATATTTATATATAAATAAAAGTAGTTTCACATTTATATATAAATGTGAATAAGATGTGGAAATATTTTATAATATTTTAAGTTGACTAAAAAATATCAATGACACAACATGTAAATTAGTTAGCAAAATTTGCAATACCTAATTTACACTGCGTAATTATATAATGAATTTATAATTGAAATGTAAATAAATACAGAAAATTAATACAATATTTTTTTAATGCGTATAAATAAAGCCTACTAAAAAAGGCCACTTCATTTTATAAAAATGTTCATAATTATAGCGCTATGACACAATACATGAGAGGTTAAGGGATATAATATTAAGATTAAAGAGATAAGAAAAGAGGAAATGCACAATAAATCCCGTAATATCAATAGTATCAAGAATTTCTAAAGCATACTTTCTCATTAAATCAATATACAGGGTGTTCAGTAACAATGAGAACAATAGATACCCGTTTCCTGACTTACTGAACACCCTGTATATGTTTTTATTTGTTTATTCCTATTAATTTTACTATGATGTGTTTTATTTTTATTTATTTAAGAGGTAGTATATCATCATGAATGATGACAATTTGAGACTGAAATATAAATTTACCCAGAACCAAAACTAGGGGGCGGCACTGAGTACAATAAAGAAAACACTATCCAACTATTTAATAATAAAAATTATAGGATATAAAATCTTTTTTGTTGGTTCATACAAGTTAAAAATAAATAGTGATACAGAGAAAAATTGCTTTGATGAGTAAAACAAAAAGGTCATTAGAGGAGGCAAAATTGAGTTCCTCAGGCGCACAGTGGTCTGAATATTTCACAACATTTTTACCATGGATAACCTATTTGAAAGTAAGTAAAAACATATTTTAGTTATGTGCCTTACAATATTATAATAAGTAATTAAAAATTATATATTTTATAATATAATATATATAATTATAGAAATTTTATTTCACGTTAAATGAAAAATGTATTTACAAAACAAAAACACATCATTTATTTGAATAATAAAATGTATTGAATTATAAAATTTATAACAATAAATATAAAATTTGGGAATTCACAAAAAAAATAAATGTACTTTGCTAACACTACACAATTAAATAATAGCTTAAACATAAAATTCTCAATAAAACATTACAAGAAACAAACTAGTTATATTATTTATAACGTCATAGTATCTACGTAATGGGACATGTCTTTCGATTGTTAAAGCCCAAAGTGTCTTATAAAATCATAAATGTCGTCAAACAAATAAAAATGATTTGAACTTTGATCATAACAAGAATAGATATAAGTTTAGTACAACGATTTGGAAATATACTTTCAGCAATTTCCAGTGGAAAAAAAATTAATGTAGATGCTTTTAATGTTTATGCTATAGAAACAGCTAAAATTTTTACCGATTTATATCCATTGTATTATATGCCTGCTAGTGTCCACAAAGTGTTAATTCATGGAGCTGACGTAATACGATTCGCAATAATTCCGATTGGTATATTTATATATATTCATTATTATCCTATACATCAATTAAATGGTTTAACAATTTATTTGAATACATTTTTAGGTCAACTTTTGGAAAAAGTACAGGAAGCCAAAAACAATGATTATTAAAAAAATAGCTATTAGAAAAAGTTCGAGGTATAATACCAATTGATGCATATACTATTAGTATCAAGTGATCCATACATATCATCAATGAAATTATTTTCAAAAAAAGTATAAATAAATTTTCTATTGCGTGCAAAATTTACTTGTCAATTCCGAAACGAACGTCGACGATGAAATAAATAACTTAAACAATACAATATCAGAAATCGAATTAAATGAAAGCTAATTGTAAATAAAAAAATGTAAGAATTGGTATAATCTTATTAGCCTTATGCACAGTTATTTTTGTCAGCCACAAAAAAAATTATATTTTTAAAATCTAGAATACTTGCTCTACAATATCTATGCAATGATACTTGGATAAAATAGGGTAATTTTTAGTATTGTGCTTTTTAATTTCCAAAATGACTCAAAAAATACTTCATTTTATCAAAACAATCATTACTTATAAAAAAAAAATTTTTTTTCGAAAATTTTTTAATATTCAACTTTTTAAAATTGTTGACAATGAAAGACCTTTTTTATGTTAAAATAACTGTAATATAACCATATCTATACTTCAAACAACTATAAATAACGACTGAATTATTTTAATATTGTGAGTACATTTTATATTGCCATTTATGAGCGCCTAAAATTTGGTTTCAGACCACTGTGGAGCGGCACAACTTTTAAATACGTTTTATTAATGAGAGGGAAGTTATGACTGTTTATTTATAATAGGAACTCTAATGTATAAATATGTGAACCACAAATGATGTGTCTAAACACATGTAATTAAACACCACTGATGATTATATACTAAATGCAGTGCTCGAATTGACCAAAAATAAGTAGGGGAGCTCAACTTAACAATTTGAAAACTGCGTCCCTAGTATTTTGAAGACCTTTTTTTTTTTTTTTACTCATTACTTTATTTAGTATTTATTAATAAATCATATTTCATTATCATACTAATATTTAAAAAAGAGGTGGTATTTTCCACCGTCCTCCTGTCCCAATAAAAAAAAGTAGTTGGGGTGCGCAAAAAAATTTTAAAAAAAGTAGAGGAGCTACGTCCCCCTGCGCACCCCCCCAATTCGAGCACTGACTAAATGTAAATGATAATACACAACTAATCATTATAATTAGGAACTTATTCTTACCTGTTGGTTGAAATTCCATTGATTTTCCCCAAAACTTTGTTTTGATTCTGACATCTTGCCAAAATATGAAATTTTTTGATTCAGCATGACATACACTAATAGGCGGATGATGGCTCACCTTTTAAAACCATAAAAAAAAGTTATAATAATAAAAGTATTTGATCTAGTCGGATATTTGTAAACCGCTATAAACCAAGTTAAAATACGTCCGTATCACTATTTTTTCTTTAAAAGTATTTTTCTTATTTTACAGAAATAATGAATATTGTTGTATCATATAATTTGAATAATTCAATGGTATGACATTTGCAGGGCTGTCTCGAAAGGATTCGTGGAGGAGTATCAGTTTAATAGTTTTAGTCAATCATTTTTTATATAAGAAGATAATAAAAATTATTAATATTTATCTTAATATTATTAGAATAATTAAAAATTATATTAATACATTTTTGATTACTTGCAGTTTTTATTTGTTGTAATAAAAAACATTGTTTTATAAAAAAATACGGATTTTAAGAAAAAACTTTACTTGATATACACAAAAAATCTGCCCAAGAGTGCCAAAAGGTATAATCCAAAATTGGCCCTCTTTCAGTCATAGTACGCCATTTCATATTTCTTTTTTATATTCAAAATTGTAAAATCTAACATATTTTAGCTCTGATGCGAATTTGACAAAGTATTAATTTTATTATGTTTTTTTTTTGTGTTTTGTCTCAGCTCTTATCGAACCGATTTTTTTCAATGATATGTCAAAAGATAACAAATAGTATCTAGTGAAGACATTGCCCTAAAAAATTGAAAAAATTTCCCTCGTTCCCTGTAAATGGAGGAAATTCAAGATAAAATTTACCAATATTATAATAATAAAAAAAATATTATTGATTTTTAAAGCTTTTTTTTCTTAATACTGTAATAACTTTTTTTAAAAAAAAGAAGGTACCAAAATAATTTTTTTTTAAATAAACACCTTAAGTACTTCCTTTTCATTTGATATAATTTTTTTGTAATTCTGACCCTTTACTTGCCAAAAGGGGGTATTCCAAAATAGCAATTTATTCACGAAAAGTCAATCTTTTCAACTTAATTTTTGATGATGTTCCAGAAATACTGCCTCTTTTAAATATGTAATAAATTAAAAATTATGTTACATACTATAAATTAAAAAAAAAAATTGTCCTTGCGACCTGGCTTCTTTGTGCAAATGGCTACCGTAGTTAAAAAAACATTCTCCATGTCTTTTTGAGTTTTAAAAATTTTTTAATTCGTTTGTTAAATCTCATTTAGATTTAATAACTTCAATGAATATGCAGGACCCCATCACTATAGTTTTTTATCCATATGAGAAGGAATTTCTTATTCATATTAAAATGAATAAGTTGTTAAAATTAACAACTTTTTGATGATTTTTTTTTAATTTTAATGCAAAATTAAGAAAAATTCTCAGCTCTCCCTGGACCAATTTTAATGATCAATATGTCAAAAGAACACGATTTTAATCTAGAAATATTTTCACAAATAATAAGAGTATAAAATTTGTTTTTATACTAAATTACACAATAAAATTATAAAACTAAAATTAAATATTTTTTTATCAGCATAGACTAAAATTTACTTTGTTTAACCACGTTTTTACGCTGATTTCAAATCTGCAAATAGATCAAATTTCTCTTTTTGAGATTATCACTAATTTATAAAAACGAGTATTTACATTTAAAAATTTATTTCCATTCAACATTTTTTTTTGATAAATATTTATTCATATATTTATACTTATAAATCAAAGAACTACTAAACAGAAATAATGAAGGAAATAGAAGTTCATTTTGCTTTTAAAATAATCCACCAATTTCTTAAAATTAAACACTAACTATAAATTTGCATCGAAACGTTTCTTATGATAGAGATTTTAATTACTGTCAGATATCATCTATTTTTGTCCCAATTATGCCACGTCTACACTGTGCTACCATTTTTTTTTTTTTTAATAATTTATGTCATACCCATTATATTTTTAACTTCATTGACAGATAATAATACTTAATTAATTATTATTAATAATTATTAATTATTTCTATTTACTTGTTCTGCGACAAATTTGAAGCCTTTGTCATCTCTTATACACTCATATGTTTCTCCTAAAAGTGGATTAAAAGGTTTTGAACCAGCTCTATAGTAGCTTGAACCGTAGCTCGACACTGCAAAAGCAGCAACATAAACCATACGTTCATAGACATCACTTTGTTCAGAAGCTTTATCTAAAAGTTCACTGTATTCTAGTTCTTCACACATACGCTAGAAAAGAAAATATTAATAATATAATTTTTAATTATTTCATTTAAACTTAAATATACATAGGCTCAGTGCCATGCTGTCATTGGCCATCTATTTAACAAGGGCAGAAATTTACAATACTTTTCATAAAAGATTTTCGTTCCTGAGACCCGCCAAAAATGAAAACTGACCTCAGTCGCTATAAGTCATTATAATATAATGTCAAATAAAAAATAAAACAATGCATAATATTATCATTGAAAATTTAAAATAATAATTTAAAACTAAAAAATATTTAATTCAAAAAGCCATTAAAATTATTATAAAAAATTGCGTATTTTATGTCAATGTCACCATTAGTAGTGCTAAACAAATCCCAACACATCGACCGAAAAAAATTTCCTTATATACCCTTAGTGACCTTATTATTACTTAGTGACTAGTGATGTTATCAGTCCATTATCATATTTTGCCAGTTTACACAAGTTAATGAATTTTGCAGTGGGCCAAGATCTCAATTAATTAAATTATTCTTATTTTTAAACATATCTATTACCTCTCTTATATTATGTTCTTTGTAATTATTTACGTTTTAAATTAGTTATATGGTTTTAATGGAGTAGTTATGTGTCAATAAATGTTCTAAAAACGTTTTTAAGTGTTCCTTAAACCTGACAACTGTTTCTTTTTGTTTGTCTTAGGTATCTTTTATTACAAAATTCACATTGTATATTATAAATCCCCGATTTTCCTCACTTATTTTTCTTTATCTTTAGGATTACCTTATAAATCTATTAAATTATACTTTTAGATGTTACTTAAGTAAAATCAAAGTTTTTAAAAATTCTAACTAGTCCATTTAAAATTGCTTGATAATATAAATTGGGCGACCTAATTATTTTTTGTTCCTCAACGCTAGTAAGTGTACCAGCTCCCTCTTTTTTTTTCTCTTCTTTTGTGTTCGGACTAATTATAGAATTATATTTTCATCATACTCATAAAATCTAGATATTTCTTTTATAACATATAGTTCTTTATTAAAATTTTTTGTGTTTATTGGAATATTAACTAATCTATAAACCATACTATTAAAAGCTGTCGTTTTGTGTTGCCAGCTGTGGTTTGAGTTGTTCGGAATGTATCTGAACGTGTGTGTGATTTTCTGATATTTTTCAAAATGTAACTCTCCCTACTCATTTAGTTAATCCAAAATGACAATATTCTCTCTACTTCTTGTTTGAAATAAATAAACGTTAATTTATTGATGGCTAAAAATAATTTAAATGTTGTATGAAGACTTATATTGACATCTTTGTTTATAATTGCAAAATTATCATTTAATTACTTAATCCAAATTTTTAGAATATTAGTCACATGTAAACATTTCCTTATTACATGACATTACCTAACTATTTTTTAGTCTAATCAAAAATAATTGTTATTAGCATAATTGGGGTTTTGTTCTTGAGGAAATATATAAATAGAAGAATTTACTGTAACTGTTTACTGTTTAATTTCACTATCCTCGCCAAACGAAAAATTGTTTTTTCACTATGTACTTCTTGGAGATTTATCCCCTTATTCTCCCTTAATTGTTCTCTTACTAATTTAAATAATTAATACAAAAATTACATTTAATAATACATTTAACGTAAATAATTTTCTTTTCGTTTCATCATTAATTTGCATTCAAAGTGGTAAAACATTATGAAAATTATATCACTTAAAAATTTCAATTACGATAGCTAATTTTCTAATCTGAATGAATTCAATCATTTATAACATTTTTAAAATCAAAACATACTTGTAACATGTTGAGTGGCTCGTTTAAGGCAACTGGCATGGAAACTTGAGATAAATCTTTACCAATATTTTTGCAAAGGAGATTCCATAAAGATAGTCCTTCAGTATCGGGTTTTGGACATGGAAGTTTAGTTCTTCGTCCTGTCATATTCCTAATAACACCTTCACAATCTAGGACTAAACAAAAATAAAATGATAAACTTTGTATATTACGCTAAAAACAAAAGTACTTCTATAATTATATATATATATATATATATATATTGTATAAAAGAAATCGAAGTATTTCACCTCATTAGTATTCAAAAAAATCAAAATATGTAATGAAAATAATGAATTATAAAATTTATTTTTCATCGTCTTGTATTTCATATTAAAAACAAAAAAATTATAAAATTTAAAAATTTAACCAACTGTTATCACTGAATGTTTTTGGTATGATTAAACTTCTCGCGTAAATATTGATTTTATAAGAAGAAGAGGGGATGTTTAATTCCTGAACTTCCAGTTGCATGCAAACCCTAACAGAGTAGCCATTTCAAAATTGCAAAAACATTTGTAAACAATTTTTAAGCATTACATTTTAATTAACGAATTCAATAAATATAAAGTACATTTCCACATTTTAAGTAAATATATACAGGCTGGAATAGATCTAACTGACGACATCTATAACAATTTGTTTATACAATCAACATTTCGTTGTAATTTTTTAAAAATAATTTATGCATTCTTTGACTATTTTTAAAATCTTATTTTTTATTATTTGTTTTTAATAATAACAAATAAATTTTAAGCTTCCATGCGAAACTAAGAAGGTATTAATTTTACTATGATGTGTTTTTTTTTTGTGTCTGTTACCACTTTTTCTCAGCTTTCACTTGACTGATTTCTTTCAACAACACGTCAAAATATCACAAATCGTATCTAGTCGAAGACATTACCCTCAAAAACTGAAATAAATTTCCCTCGTTCTCTTTCGTAGATGGGGGAAATCTTCAAAAAAATTACAAATTTAAAAATCGGTAATTTTCGACATTTTTTTTTACTTAAAACTATCATAACTTTTTGAAAAATATTTTTATAAATCTGACTCATTACCTACACACAAGGGGGATTCAAAATGACAACTTTTCCACAAAAAATTAACTTTTTCAACTTAAATTTTGAAAGTGTTCCGGAAATACTGAAAATTTTATATGTAATTTATAGCTAATGTAATATACTTAAAAAAAATTCAGACTTAATTTTGTCTTCACGGTGAAAGTGGAAACCGTATGTTATTTTTGTGTTAAAAATCTCTATTTTATATTTTACATTTTTAATTTTATATTTCTATAACTTTTTGAAAAATCTATGGATCAATACATTTTTTTTATGAGAAATACTATTATATATTTTTTTTATTTGATATACTTTTTTTTTAAATCGGACCATTACCCTTTATACAGTGGGGTTCAACAAAACTTAAAAATGAGTACAAAAAGTAGGACTTTATCAACTTATTATTAATAAAAATATATTTATTTATTATTCATACGTAACCTAATATTCAAACATAAATATTTGTTATATTGGAAGGATTTTATTATTTAGACCATATGCGAGACTCTAATTGCAGATTTGAAATCGGTGCAAAAATGGGTTAAGAAAATAATATTTTGACCTCTAATGAAAATTCCTTGTAGATTAGTAAATTTATTTATAAATAACAAACAATTTTTTTTTAACTATTGCATTAAGACCTTTAACTTTTATATACGTTTGCCATAAAATAATTATTTAAATAAAAATAATTTTTTATAATTTCTCCTTAAAAATTACAATTTTCATACTACATTCAATTGCTATAATAAATATTTATACATATATTACACTTATAAATCATATATAATCATAATTGTGATACTTATGACTTTAAAATACAGTTTTTTTTTTTTAATTTAAAATTTTCAAATTTCATAATAGCGAAATTTTAAACACTTCCTTTATAAAAATTATTAATAGATTGATAACGATTTTTTTCGAATAATTATTGAATTACAAACATTTTAATATATGGAGTGGTTATGTAACGCGGGTGGAATATGCGTTATAAATATGCATCAGTACTAGCTGTACCTATCCGCGCTATATACTCACTTAAAGTATTAAAATTTTTGTAATTCATAAACCATTGTTCTAAAATTGTTGTCAACCCATTAATAATATAAGAAATGAACCTAAAAATTGGCTATTTTGAAAATAGTGTCTAATAAGAATGTAAAGTATTTAAAAATAAATATCGATTAAAATTATTACAGTGAGTTATAAAAACAAAGGCCATAGACAAGATGTTTTGGGTTGATTAGTATAAAATTTACATAAGTATTGTAAATACGTAAATAAGTTTATGATTTTTCATTTTAAAATTACATTTTTTTTCTTAAAGTTATTAAGTTCAAATTTAATAGCATTATTGATTATACGAAGGACAAACTGTATACAATGTACAATGTAATAAAATATTAAATTTAATAAAAATGAAAGGTACATGACAAAATAATTTAGTCATTTTCTACTAAGCTAATAATGTTTCAAATTTCAAAACGCCAAATAAAATGTTTAGCAAACAAAAAATTCAAAAAAGTACTAAAATAAACACTTAAAAATGATTTTAGGGCTAAAAATGCACCAAAAAGGTAAAAATATGGAGAAAATAATAATAATAATAATAATAATAATGACTAAGTATTAAAAATTTTAATTTGAATTTCATGAAAGTATTTGCAGTTTTAGTTTAATATTTAGAAAATATAGTGTAAATTAAGTATAAATTTAANATTTGAATTTCATGAAAGTATTTGCAGTTTTAGTTTAATATTTAGAAAATATAGTGTAAATTATAAAGTTTAATTGTGTAGTATATCGCTGTTGGATTTGTCAAACGAGTCGAATAGAAAATATGTTGGAGCGATATTGTAGTGTAAAATCTGAGGGGATAAAAAATTTGATGGAATGAAAGGAATAAGGAGAGTGGGCTATATAAGATGGTACTTAACAATAATTAAAGAAGTAATGCATGTTTCATTATAAATATACAAGGAATTAATATAATGAATATTATGTTATTATAGTACAAATAAGATGGATGGGGACCATTTATTACTAATGCCACAATAGCGCAAACAATAGAATTAATTATGTAAAATTAAACAAACAACTATAAGCAAATTCTAAAAAAATACTCATCAATTTGGCTTTGTTGATGACTTGGAGTCGGAGCCAATTGAGGCGAAAGATAGATGAATGGATAGGACGTTGGATTGAACGGTCATGCAAAGCTGGAAGTGAAAACGACGAGAACCAAAATGTAATGGAGAAATGTGAGTAAGAATTGTAGGACAACAGTGTTATACACACGTCAAATATTTGCTGAAGGGCGAACAGAACCGTATTATGATGGCGGCACTATGATTACAGGAAAAAAGCTAAATGCACAGAAATACGTATATTTCTACGCAACCTAATATGAATGAAATTGACAGAGAGGCGGCGGTCAAGATGACTGAGCGCTTGACAATCACCAAACCGATAGTGTTGCCAAATTAACTGAAATTGTTATAGAATCTATGTTTGTACCTAACAATACTTACTTAATGAAAAACTTTACTTTTATTATTAAAATTAAATATATAATTTTTTAAAAGATAAAAAAAGTTATAAGAAATATGAATAACAACCGCCAAGCTCAATTGTAATATACATAAATGCCTCTTTGTATAAATAGTTTATTCTTAAACTAATCAAGTTAAATCTAAGGAACCAATTTTAAATAATTACTTAACTATTTACGACGAATAAGGGAATAAAGGATAATAAAAAAATAAACTCGAATAGCAGTACTTTTAATATTAACTTCATATTTCAAAGAGGTCAATTAAAATTATGCAATTATAATATAATACAGGTACAATTTAATAACAACAAATCCGGTAGTTGTAATATAAATTGTTATCTATATATACAAGTCTTTCGAACCTAATAATATGCTGAATTACTGAAGAACAGAATACCGCTAATAGTTAAGTAATAATAATGATCAGTTTTATATCCTTCTATTTACTTAACTTAACATGCTATAGAGGGTAATGGCCCTCTTTCACATGTTAGGGAATCAAAGATTGTTCTTGGCTATGCTAATGATGGACGGGATGGGTATTATGGACGGCTTGCACCAGTGACCAAACATCAATAATGAAAAAATCACAAGAAAAATCTTATTGGAACCCTAGGGATCAAAACCGGGATCCCGTGCGACGAAACATACCTTTCTACCAACGAAGTCAGACCTAACCCCCTATTATGTATTGTTAATAAATATAATATTATTGAAGTGCTTGATCTTGTATTTGTGATATTGCAAAAAACGCTCCATGCATGATTGTAATTTAAAAAATTCTGCTTAGATTGTTCGTGAACGTCGGGATGTATTTGCATCAGGCTGTGCTACAGTTAGAGCATTTTATGGTTATTGACATGTCTACACAATAAGCTACCTCAGGGCACAACGATAAAGCACCAATACAATTTGGGGAGGCGTATTAGCCAATAACACTATTTTCACTCAAATAAGTATTTTTGGAATTTTTTTTTATAATTGTAGTATAACAATCACTCGATAAAAAATTTATATCTGATATTTAGTATAAGTTAGTTAAAAACAGTCTGTGCCAATATTAGTAAAACTGGATACTACTGTAGTACTCACTATACGAGTTTAACTTACTATACTATACATTTATTTGGAACGGAGTCATCTTAAAGGATGCTAGAGTGTTACACCCCCTTGGTAAAATATTTATAATTTCAATTAAAAACTTTCAATTTATGACATGTGTAGCTAAAAAACGTATTAAAAAAAAGTGATTTATTTAAAAAAATTATTTTATAACTCCATTATTAACCACCAGGACGACTGGATTTTGAATAATTGTTAAGAAAATATATGAAGATAATAAAAGTATGTACTTACTTCCTTGTTGATTATTATACTCAGATGTTGCCCCATCACTATTTTCAGAAGATATTGAACCATCTTCTGAAGATAATGATCCTGCTTCTGAAGATGTATCTGAAGTTTGGGCAACAACATCGTTTGATGGCAACTTATTGGATAAATCTTCCTCACATCTTGTGATTTTACCCCCTATATATTCTTCAGCATCAAAAAAAACTTCCGAACCACTAACACCAGAACTATATGATAAAGATGAACTTAATACCTGAACCAAGATAAGAAAAAATTGAAATGCAATCATTTTTTTGATTTCAAATGTTTTTAAAAATTAAAATATTTTTACAGGATCAGAGAAAGTTGATATATCTGATGCAGTATGTATACTATTCAATTTAGCCCGTAATTCACTATTTTGTTTAATGGCTCTGTTTAATGCTGATCTGTAGTTTGTCAAATTATCATCACGTAAGTCGCCAATCAACAAGTGATTACGCTCTTCAGTTATAGTACCCATAATAGATTTGAAACTATTTTGTACTGAAAAATAAATTATATGTATTCTAAATTGACTGAATGTATCATCTAATTTTTTCCTTAAAATTAATTTATATATAATATAATCACCACATTTATTAAATTAAATGTACCTTGACATGTTAAATATACTAATTGCCATAAGTTTAAATTTGTAAACATACGTAACTAGTTTTTATTTTTTATCAGTTCATTTATTATGACAATGCAATTATAAATATGCAAATACTAGAAGTCCCCTGTCTTACTTATGGATATCATATTAATAATTATTAATAACATATCCTCAAAAAAAAAAAAAGTTCTTATCTAGATTTACTCAAAATATATGATACTTATTATCAATATGAAATTTGAATTATTGATTATTTGATTATTGAGGGACCAAAATTAAAAAAACTTAATTAGTATGCATTAAAAATGGCAATCTAATAAACTAGTTACTTTACTTTATAAACTAATACAGCAAATGAAATAATACTTACTATCTTTTGCTAAGATTACAAAATCAGCATAAAGCTGAAGATCACTAGGCGATGAATTAATTATAAGTGAAGGATTACTGTTTGATAAATTGTGTGAAGGAATTCCAGATTGCTGAAAATGATTATTTCATAAATTAATTAAATAATTTTTCAGCAATTTTTATAGATAATATGTTTTTTTTTAATATTAAAGAAAAATAACAATATAATTTGGAGACTAAGGAGTCAAATAAAATTTTTTCTAAATTAATATTTTGATATTTATATCGAAAATTTAAAACTAAACAAAAAGGAGAATGTCAAGTAAATTAGTAATTTTTTATTATTATCTCTTAATTATATTAAAACTAGATTTTCGTATAAATATTTTTTTTTATTAGCTTAGATAAAATACAAATATTTTAATTTGCTCTTCTAAGAAGTGAAAAATAGATTGATACGTTTTTTTTTATCTTAACCTGATGTAATTTCTATTTAACTAACATATTTAATCAAATTTAAAACTAAATTTTGGTATAAAACAAAAATTAACCAAACCAAAGTTTATTCACACTTTCTCAATGAGACTTTCAAGTAAAATAATGGGTAAAAATCTATCTTTACAAAACTTTAAGTATATTTCTGGAACTTTACTTAAATTTATTCACAATAAAATAAAAATATACTTACAGTGACTGATGAATCTATCAGGTCAATTGGGGTTTTGCTTGATGGTTGACTAGATTGATTCATATCTAAGCCCCATCCTGCTATAGTACCACCCCAACTACCACCTCCACTCTTTTTTTTGCGAAGTCGAAATCTGGTACTTTTTTTAGTAGTTGTCACACCATCAATACCACTAACCTTCAATATTAAATTAATTAAGATTTTTTTCACAGTCAAATAACTAATTTTCAAATAATATTAAATCATAATATATTTTAAGTCAAGGTTTTCTTTAAATTTGCTTTTGGGAATCATATAATCAATAGATTAACATAATTATATCTTCTACGTAGCTCAGTTAGAAATTTTTCGTACCTCATTATGATGGAACTAAAGTTTAATTCTCATTGGGCTAGGCTATGTTTTTCTGTCTTCTCTATAAGCAATAGCTTATAAGAGAAAATAAAATATAAACATGTGTATTACTAATAATAATATGTAATAGCTTAACATTATATTTTATTTATACAGACTGTTCAGTAAGTAAGGAAACAGGTCAATTGTTACAAATAATGAGAACAATAGAAACCTGTTTCCTTACATACTGAACACTATATTTATTATTATTTGCTAGTACTCAACATAACTTTATTTATGGAACATGTATAATTTTAGCTTCGATGCGAAGCTGAGAAGGTATTGGTTTTACTATGATGTGTTT